AGGAAGACCCTCGACGAGATGGATCGATTCAGTGACTGGGGTCATGGGGTAGGTGAGTCAGAGACAGTAAGATTGGCACAGGTTAGAGCAGGGTTTAGAGCTGTTGTACATAGGGTAGCTAGGAGTTGCAGGCAACTCAATGACACAAAAACTGTTCAAGAGAATTTTTGTGAGGATTGAATAATATATTTAGCATGCTTTGTACTTGTATTAACTTGTTGCAATTAAATCACTATCACAAAATGACCCTACAGGACATAACTGCTTCATTAAGCTTCCAGGTCAGTAATCTTTACAGAAGCAGTATCTTACTATAAGTGGGTTGTGGTTTGGAACCACTATCCTTCTAGCAGTTATGCTCTTAACAGCCGCTAGGGCTGTGTTCAGTAAATGGTACCTGACTGCAAACAAAAGCATTGCCATCAAGTCGGAGAGCACCGTCTCATAGCTGATCCTCCAGTGAGTTTTCAGTTCTTGTAAACCACAAGAGATTGTCCATCTTTCTCCTTTGGAAATATTGAACTGCCAGAGGCGTAGCCTGTAATTTAACAGCACAGTTCTCTGTCGACTATGATACCAGAGCTCCCTCAGTATCTTTTTAGGCCATGGTAAGACCCAAAAGAGAAAAGTCAAAACCCTAGAAAAAAGCCTTTCCCCACCCCCTCAACGAGATTGCTATATAAATATGCCGACTAAAATGAAAACACACATGATAAAGGTTCAGATATTAGCTTCAACATATTTCCCTCTGAGAATTAGACACACCATTTGAGTTATAATCATAATACTATGTAATCTTAAATTTCACTTGACCAATTACTAATATCATGAAAACCCTGTTTATTTGCTACTTTGGGAAAGGTGACTTATGATTTTACTTTAAAATGCAGAAATAAAACTTTCTGGTTGCTGTAATTTAAATACTAGGTTAAGGAAGTTGAATTGCCAGATTGATGGTAGCAGGTATCCTTACTAGGTGACAACAAGAAAATAATATGGTTTAGTTTCCACTAGTATTTTGTTTTATAATGCTTTTTTCTGTGTGCTATGATGCAAATAATTAAGGTACTTAAAAGTGTTCCTGAGACTTACCTGTATAAAAAGAGGGAGGGGAGAAATTATTCCATTTCTTTTGAAATTAAAAAATCCAAACAATAAAGGATGTTGTTGACAAGAAAGCAGTTAACATAAAACTTCACTATTACTTACAATTTCATGTAATTATACTTCAAGGTAATGTTGATATGTTTGACTTCACACTCAGCACTTTTTTTTCTTTTTAACGCTCAGCATTTCTTAAACTGAAGGAACTAAAGAACAAATTCAAGCCTTGAGTTGCAATAATTAAGGATGCTATGAGCAGAATATTGAGTGATCCAGGAGGCATCAAAATAATTTCATGAAGCAGCATATGATTAAGAGGCAATGATGATGAAGGAAGTTTAAACTGCTCTGAAAGAACTGGCAAAACACAGGGCCCCAGAAATTGATAGACTACCAGCTGACATATTTGAACAGATGGATATGCTCACCAGGTTATGCCAAGAAATCTGGAGGACAACTACCTAGCCAATTGACTGGAAGAGATCCATATTTATTCCCATTCCAAAAAAAGGTGATCCAACAATTTGGATACTATCGAACAATATCATAATAAAGGAAAATCCTGCTAAAGATTATCCAAAAACTACCAGAACAGAACATTGACAGAGAACTACCAGAAATACAAACTGGGCTTAGAAGAGGCTGTGGCACTAGAGACACTATCACCAATGTCAGATGGATCTTGGCCAAAAACGAAGAGTACCAGAGAAATGTCTGTTTCATTGACTATGCAAAAGCATTTGTCTGTATGCATCACAACAATCTATGGCTAATCTTGAGGAAAATGGGAATCCCAGAAGACTTAATTGTGCTCATGCAAAACCTAAACTTGGACCAGGAAGTACTCCTCAGAACCGAGCAAGGAAACACTACATGGTTCAAAATTGGGAGAGGACTGCATCAGGGATGTGTCCTGTCGCCGTACCTTTTCAATCTATGTGCAGATCATTTGGGAGGCTGGGCTTTATGAAGAGGAATGTGTCATCAGGATTGGAGTAAAACTCATCAATAATGTGCCATTATGCAGATGATACACCTTGCTTGCCAAAACTGAAAAGGACCGAAACATTTGCTGCAAAAGGTCAAGCAAGGACTGTAGTCTTCAATATGGATTGAAGTTCAACATCAAGAAAACAAAGATTCTCACCACTGGGCCAATTGGCAGCACCATGATAGATGAAAAGACTGAGAATGTTAACTATTTCAGCTTGCTCAGCTCCACAATCACCAGCAGTCAGGAAATCAAAAGACAAGTTGCTTTGGGGAACTCTGCTGTCAAGTACCTCTTCACAGTGCTTAAAATGTTAAGATGTTAATAATGTTGTCTAGGGACTACGGTGCGCCTGATCCAGGCCATGGTCTTTGTAATTATTTGTTATGCATCAGAGCTGGAAAGTGACTAAGAATGACAGAACAACAACCAATGTCTATGAGTTTGTACTGGAGAAGAGTACTGATCATGTACCACCAAGAAAAAGGTCTGTCCTATAGAGGGTGCTATCTAGTTTCTTTTTGGAGGTAAGGATTTAAGCTCTGTCTCACATACTTTTGACACATGGCCAAGAGGACCAGTCCTTGGAGAAGGACATCATGCTTGGAAGGGTGGAAGGACAGCGCAGGAAAGACAGAACCAGATGAGATGGATTGACACAGTAAATAGGGTAATGGGATAAGTATGTTGTAAACAGTGAGAGTGGCTCAAGATAGGGCAGGGTTCAGAGCTGTTGTACATAGGGTCACTATGAGTCACAGGTGATGCAATGGCACATAACAGCAACCCTCCTCCCCAAAGACTAAATTTTTTTACTAGTAGTATTCTTGATATGTAATCCAAATAAGTATTGCTGTTTTGCCATCAAATCAGAAACGATCCACAGCTGAAGCTCCACTGGATTTTCAGAGGTAGCAAATACCATGGGAGGAAACTGCTCATCCTTCTCCCGTGGAGAAGCTGGTGAATTTGATGGATGATCTGAACTGTGTGCCTTTGGGATTACAGCACAGCTTAGCACTAGGCCATTAGAGCTTCATACACCTAAGTATTACTTAGTACCATTGAGTCGGAATCAACCCATAGCTGACCCTCCTCCAGCAGGTTTTCAGAGACAGTAAATGACACGAGATCCTTCTTCCCCAGAACAGCTGGCGGTTTCAACTCTCATGCCTTTGGGATTGCAATGCAGTTTCTTACCACTAGGCCTCCAGACCTCCTTAAACTTTTATTACTACTAACACAAATAGGTATTAGTAAAATATAATTCAATTACTCTCAAATGTCAGATATCTTTACATTTTTGTGTGTTTTATAATTTTGTTTGCAGAAATGTTTGTCTTAAGATTTATAAGAAAATCAATATTCTTGCTTCTTAACATTGATGTATAATTTTTCCCTTCCAAAGTTATAAATAAAAAAATGATTGCTGATGATAGGTATTCAATGTTTACCAAATGAAATTACCATAATATCTCTATGCTTTCAACCTTCAAACTGTTTCAAGGAAGGCCACATACTCCAAAACTAGCAGAATTTGCATACCCTCTGCGTAACATGGCTTACAAGCAGGAAAGTAGCAAAGTTACTTAACCTAGAAAAAGAAATCTCTCAAATTATTTGCATTCTAAAATAGAGCTCTTTGTTCTAAAATATTTCCCAAATATAAAAGAACATTCCCCTTAAGAGCTTCCGTTTACTCACTATTTGTTTTCTACTATTTACTACATTTTGGCATCAATTGTTTATTGGTTTGTCACTGCAGTAACTGCAACTCAACAATAAACCAGTCTGACATTTTAGGTCTTGAAGATACATACCATATATATTTCTTTAAAAATAATCAAATTTTTATAAGCAATACTTTAGAAACCTCAAAAATCTATCATAGATGTGAAACTTAAAACAAGAAAAATTTAAGTTCTAAATTTTTATACATAAATATCCACCCAGATTTCTATATATATTATATATACATATGAAAGTATATATAAAATATATATAATCAGATTTGAAAAATGAACAAAAATTGGGCACTGTACATAAATTTTTTGAAATGCAAACTATTAGAAAACTCTTTAAACATTAAACAATTTTAATAAAAGTTTCTGTACAATGCTAAGCAGTTTTATTTACACATAGAAAATGTAATAGGAGTAGTGCTTGAAATTACAGCACTCCTTAAAATTTCAATGGCAGGTAAATCTGGAAAAAAATAACAACATTCCATTCACAAATATTTTCAAGCAATAAATATTTATAAATAGTGTAAATTTACATCAGTATTAGAAACAAAAACTACAAATCCGAAGTTTATTCCTTAGTCTATGTGTCCAACATCTTTGTGACTTGGGTGTTAATTTTCTTTTTCTAATGTTTTATTTACGAACCAAGAATATAACTTGAAATGGTTTGAAAACAAGACAGAAAAACATAAAAGCAGTAAAAAAAGATTCTATTTTTCCACATTTTAAAAAAGCTGACAAAAGAAAGACTTAAAATTGCTAACTACCTTACAAAGAAATGACCAGCTATTATTTTTTTCCAAAGAAAATTCTGAAAGAGGAAAACATAAGATGAAAACCAATTCATCAGTTCAGAAACAGAAATATGAAAGAGGTTGTCAAATCAGTAGCCTGTATGACGTTGCCAGTTTTGTTAGATATATACAAAACATGGTTTGGTTTTGTTTTTTCCTCTTAAGTATAGCTGGATTAACTCTGTGAGTCTGGAGTAGAAGCAGTGCTCTCCCTTGTCCAGTTGGTTCAAACTTCGCACTTGGAAGGTTGCATAGACACAATTTTCAGCCAGCAGCCTTGTGAGATAGCTACAAAAACTAGTGATGCAGTACTGGGTTATTTCCTGAACAGCAGAAAATCTCTTATTTAATGTCCACAGAACAATATCAAGATGAAGAGGATGGTAATGGAGGAGCCTGAAAATAAAAGCGAGATATGTTAATTTAGTTATGTAATTGTTAACACGTTGCCAAATGATGGTAATACATAAAAACAAAAAAAAAACCCTGTTTCTAAGCATGGTCGTCAATTTAAAGTGTGCTGCAATGTGTTAATAGTGTTTCTAAGCCCCTGACTACAAAGCAATATTGATTCAGTTGATTATAACTCATAGCTTAACCTATGAGTCGTCTCACAGGATTTCCAAGGCTGTAATCTTGATTGAAACAGACTGCCTCATATTTCCGAGGAGTATTGATGCTTTAGAACCACTGACTTTTCAGGTAACAGCCAAACACTTTAATCATTGCACCACCAGAGTTCCATATAGTAAGTCTTAACAAGCTATGTACAACAATGATTTTTCAAGTAGGATCAAATAACAAATGGTATGACAGTATACCAAAAGTATAAAAAAAATTCCCCACCCACCTCCCCTCTATCCCCGAGAACCATAGTTAAAAAAGATTTTTAAATGTAATAATCATAACATGTGGGAGGTGCTGCTCCATGGGGAAAAAATGATGGACAGTCTCTTCCCATAAAGATTTACAAGGGACGACTGCTATGAGCTGGTCTTAAGCGGGTTGGTTGTTTTATTGTTGTATTATTTAGGTGTATCAACTACATATCTATAGTCCTTGTATGTGTGTGTATATGAATATACTCTCATGTACCATCCATCTAAAGAGTCAAAGGAAAATTTTAGTATTTCTTGATTTGCCACTTACTAGGTGACAAAGCAAAGACTACTGCTTTATAATCCAGTTAAATATGTATTATTCACATGTTTTTTTACTTACTAATGTAAACTGGTCATAGACTTGCATCAGGTCCTCCATTTTGTACTGTTCTAGCACCACAAAATTTTCCAGGTTTCCATTTGTTTTTCGAGCACAATCTTGGCAATGTACTATGTAAGTTTTTTGAGAATTGCTCTCATTTGTTACAAAAAGCAGATCAAAAACTTCTACCTATTTTATACAGAGAAAAAAAAGGATTCAATAGGGAGAGTGGTATTTATTGTATTACTATAGTACAAAATTCTGCTTTATACAGAAATGTTAATCTCTGGTTAAGAGTAGCAACTAAGAAAAACATGGCTATCAACTACAAGAATCATGTGTATTATGGGCACAAACAAAAAGTATATTCATAAACAACACATGGCTTTAAAAACAGGAACACTTGCTTATGCAGAAAGACTGATGAGTTGCTAAAATTCATGCAGAATAAGGAATAACAATGTGAGACGAGTTCACTCTCAGATATTAGAAAACTCATATATCCATTTTCCTTAAGAAGAAGAGATTACACCTTTCTTTGGTCAAGCCAAACAACATTAAAATAACCAGAAATAAAATATTCAATAAGAATTCAGTAATTTCCTTTCCATAATTTTTGACTCATGTACTTATAACTTGTTAGTCAAATTTGTGTCTTCTAGGTTGCAACACCCCCATGATACATCTTCAAGGATATGAACATGTACGGCCAAGCACAATCAATGAGTGCATCTAAATTCCAAAATCAATCTCCATAATAGTCTATGTGTTTCCTACTGCCAAAGGGGCCCTTTAGAGTAGTGAGAGAAGATCTTCACCCTGAAATCCACAGCGTCCCTTTTCAGCAGGAAGTAGCTAAGAGAATACGCCATCCCCTTTTCCTTATGACTCAGGGTGAAGTCTCTCTCAGGGAGGAGTGATAGGGAATGGCAAAGGACACACCGACAAAGGAGATTAATCAAAACTGACTTTGACAAGCACTGTGGCAATTGGACAATTAAAACAGACATTCGGATCGCAGGGAAGAACAACAAACTGGGGAGGAGGGTGGAGAGAATGGTGCGGCAATGAAGGAGTGAAAGCCCAGAATCCCTGTGAATGTTCATTGAAACTAATAAAATTTAATAATAATAAAAAAAAAAGAATTCAGTAATTTCCAATAAAATTTAACCTCAGGATTACAGAATTTCAAGGCAAGGATTCTTAGTATCTTTGTTTCTGGTTTGTTGTTGTTGTTAGGTGCTGTCAAGTTAAGTACGACTCACAGGGACCCTATGAACAAAAGATCTAAACCCTGTTCTATCCTGTGCCATCCTCACACTTCCTGACACATAAGAGCCCATTGCAGCAATCACATCAATGCACCTAGTTGAGGGTCTTCCTCTCCTTCGCCGACCCTCCACCCTTCCCAAAACAATGTCCCTCTCCAAGGAATATGTCCCAAGTATGTGAGGAGAAGTCTCATCATTCCTGCTTCTAAAGAACATGCCAGCTGCACCCTCTCAAAGACATATCTGTTTGTTCTCTTAGCTGTCCATGGGATGTTCACTGTTCTTCTCCAACATCACAGGTCAAAGGTGTCAAGTCCAGCTCTCAGATGCATAGCAAGTAATCAGAAAGATGGCCTATGCTAGAATTTTTTCCCATGACAAAAAACTCATGGCCTCATGTCAGGTCTGAACAGTTCCCCATATTTCTCACTTATATCAACTGGCAGCAACATGAGTCTAATGATTTGAACAGAGAATTTATGAGCACTTTTCCACTTGATCTTCACTTCTGCCATCTAACAAATTGCTCTACTGATCTAAGCATTTTTTAATTCTCTACTTTCTACTTTTGGGTTCTAGTTTAGGCTGTAATGTTAGGGATATAGAGTTAGGTCAGAAATGAGGACACCTCAAAGGAATTAGGAAGCAGGGAACAGTTGATAAGAACCAACCTATCATTGACCAAAAGAGACTATTATTAGGCCAAAGCTGAGGACACCACACAGGAATGGGGAGGCAGGGAATGACAAGAACTTCCCCTACTCCCCTCAAGGTAGCACAAGTGCAGAGAGACAGACTGGGTAGGTGATAGCAACCTTTCCCTCTAATACTAAAAATCACTCCTATTTGTTCCAGGACAATTACAACGGATATCAATGTGTTGGGACTCAGGAGACCATATTAGGCCAAAACACCTTGTTATCCCTCACTCCTCAACTGATTCATCCATGGGACAGATAAATATTCAGCATCAATGCAAGCAGAACACTTCCCTAGTTTACATATGTGTACTCACATCCTGTAGAGCAAGGACCCTAGAACTCCAAGTAACTGCTCCACTCAGGGAGGGTGACCTGTTTACTTCTCTAACATACTGTACTTGATACAATCTCTAGTTCTTCATTCAAATTCCTGACTTGTTTTCATTTTTCCTGCTAAGCTCTGTGCTGCTTGCTCTCCCTCTCTTCCCCACATCCCCTGCTGACCCAATTCTTAAACTAGCAAAGGGAGACCAGAGCTTTGTGCTAATCCTCCTGGAGTCAACAATAACTCTTACTTACATTACCATTTCCCTATCTCTTATTTTCTCCAATATTTCTCTCCTGAAAAAAAAAATTTAACTTAGTCCCTTGTGAAAATATTTGATAGCATCAGTGACTTCAGAATAAACATACATTTTCTTAAAATTATGCAAGATGTTTTATAAACTACCTGCCACTTAGACTTATAAGCAGAATTTGCATAGTTTATGTTCTAGTCACACCAAACCACAAACATTTTACAGAATAAACAGTTTAGTATCCCCATTCTCTTATGCTTTTCCTATGACTAGTGGCATTCTACTACTATTTCTCTCTGGCATGTTAATATTCATATTCAAATCATATTCATCCTTCAAGGATGGGCACAACAATTTTTTTAGAGGATATTTTACGTCAATACTAAAATGGTAATTTGAGTCATGCGCAGAACAATCATTTGTTTACAACTTGCAGCGATACTAGACAAGACCTAGTTTATGGAAATCTGCGTATGTTTGAATAGTCTTGCTTAAAATCTCAGACTAAATAAACTTTGTTATATTCTGTTAAAGATAACTTGGCAATACATTACCTTTAAAGTTAATTCAGAGGTAGTGAATGAGGTAAGCCATTACGGTTAGTCCCCTTTGGTCTCCAGCTACCTTAACTGCCGACACGTAGTCTTGCAAAACATCAACAGCTGTGGTACTAGAATATGAGAAAGTGTTTCCCACACTGAGAGGCAAGACTTGAAGCAAGCAAGACTTGTGGAAGACTAGAGCAAGACTCTGGTAATCGTGGTGTGACAATGGCATTGCTGTGCAGAAACTGTGGCAAGGTGTAACCTGAGGCTTCTTGTACTTCTGCTGGCCATAGTTAAAGGTTTTGATGTTTTCACCTTTGATGATGAAAGGAGATGCTGACTTATAACCACTCTGAGGCAAACCCTGCTGAATGATTTGGATTTGACTGCTGAACTGAAACCAGAGTCTAGACTAATTGAGGAATAGTGCCTTGGAACTTGGGCTAAAATCTGGACTTGTTTTGGGTGATAACCTTTGCCTCCTCCACTCTCCTACTTACTTCTGTTACAAACCCCATTCTTAGTACTACAATTGTGAGTTGGTGAGTGAGCAATGAATAAATGGACCTGTTGTTGGTGCTGTGGCTCTAGAGGTTCTTTATATGCTTTTTGCTCTGGGGCAGTAAGGGGCTATGCTGTTCTTATTCCCTCTAGCTCTTTCAGAGAGATGGTCACGGCCTGTGCCTCTATGTACCGTTTTCTCCTTAGACAGTGAAATATATAGAATTATATTTTAACAACTAAGAGAGGGTTAAACCAGGCTACTCCTTGGAGGCAAGGATTCTGGGGCTTCATCTGACATACTTTGGACATGTTGCAAGGAGATACAGGTCTTTGGAGAGGGACATCATGCTGGGTAGAGTAGAGGGACAGCGCAGGAAGGGAAGACCCTCTATGAGGTGGATTGATTCAGTGACTGGGGTAATCGGGATGGGTGTGAGAGAGGCAATGCAATTGGCACAGGATAGAACAGGGTTTAGGGCTGTTGTACATAGGGTCACTATGAGTCGCAAACGACTCGACGGCACATAACAACAACAACAAGTAACAACAAATTTCAAGGCAATTTCAAATTCAGTAAATGCTTTGGCTTCTCTTTAGTTATTACACACACCCCCACTCCTATTTACTGAAAAAATGAGCAAACTTTAAAAAATAACTAAAGGAAACCAATAACTGAAGAGGTAAGAGGCTTTTTATAAAACAGTTATAGGTAAAAATACTTACCTCACAAATGCTACAATAATGAGCTGGTTCTTCTTTTGTTCGCCCATGCCATATAATCTCTCTTCCTGCAGCAATAAGAGCATCTCTCAAAGTCTGACATTGCTTCAGAGTTCTCAGAAGACAGTATCTATTATAGGGGAAAAATTATTTGTGACCAGCAATTGAATACTGAGTATTTTAGTATCTCAAGAGATATTCCAATTAGTGCATCAAGAGACTTGGTTCTAGTATCTCCAATTTAATTTCTGTCAATTTCTCAAAATTCTGAAATAAACAAAATAAAACAATGCTTAGCAGCTCTGATGATGACAATATTAAACCTGAGGTAGAATATAATTAATACGTGAATACGAAGATATAATCTTAGTATTTAAAAAAAACACTGACCCCTTGCATAAATATAAGCTATTAGTTTGGGCTTTTATTTGGGCAAGTCAATTAACCTTTTTGAGAATCAATTTCCTCATCCTTGAAACAAGGGATATGATTCTAGTAAAGAAGGGAAGGCACATTATTTCTATTAACACTACTTAAACTTATAAACAACATCACCTGTGTAGATGTTTTTTTCAAATGTTTGAACCCATGAGCAGAAAATAACTTATGGAGTTAGATTGTTACTAAAAAAAGAAAAATAGTAATAATAATTAAACATCATGTGTCAGAAGAGAACTCTGCTCCATACAGTTTTCAGTGGCTAATTTTTTTTAAAGTATATCACAAGGTCTTTATTTTGAGGTACCACTGGGTGAAATGGAATCTATAACCTTTTGGTTAACAGCTAAGCAAGTTAATGGCACAGCCTGGGACTATTTTGTGAGTTTTCACAATTTGTGCCCATTTTCCTACAGTTAGCTGTCATTACTCAAAATTGTCTGCTAAATTCTTGCTCTCCTGCTCAGGTTTTCCATTTGAACAAAGAGGGTGAAATAGGTGATCTCTAAGGAACTTTTTAGCTCTAAACTTTGGAGATCATGAAAATATCCTAAAGGAAAGGAAATAGATATAGCAACTGAGTGTGACTTAATAGCAAAAGTCTTAATTGTTTTAATCATGCTGTCTACTTATTGCTTGACACGTGTCAATAAGCATTTGATTACTTCCCAAAGGAAATTCAAAATATGGTTAAGTAATAGCATATATACTTTGTTCCTTGTAAGTTAATAGGTAAAGATATTATTCTTTATCATAATCCATGTCTAGTTCAGTTATGAGATCAAATGGACAAGATAAATTTTTTAAAAATCATATAGAAAACACTGAACAGGTGAATTTATGTAAGGGAAAACACTTAGAAAACAAAGGTGAGAATAGTTAAACAACCCAAGAGATGTAATTAATGCCACTGAACTGTACATACAGAAATTGCTGAAGCTGCTATGGCTGATATGTCATTCTATGCACATTCTCAACAATAAGACTAAATTATACCCCTAACTCCCAGTCCAGGTAATCACTGACCTCCTCAAAGTTATTAAGGAGGGAAACAGAGTAGAGAAGTTTAGGCAGCTCCTCTCATGTCAGGAGGGGTAATTAGTGGTCCTTAAGTGCACTGGTTAACATGTATTCCCTGAGACCTGAATGCAGATTCATGGCTGAGAAGGTTCCAATGTAGCCATGAAGCCATGTCCCACCCTGTCTTCCATAACACAAAGAGTGTATAGGGGTCACTGGACTGTGGGAAGCCATAGGTGACAGTAGAGCACATCAAGTGAGTAGCAGTACATCTCTGGAGTTACCACGAGGTTCTTGGTGGTGCTGATAGTTCCGCTAGGCTGGGAGAGAGGACTCAGGGGTCCTGATATGGGATTAATTTGTGTACCATGGAAGTTTTCAGGCCCCAGAGTTAAGTCGGAAACATTCTCCCATCCACTGTTTCTGTCCACATGATGGTGGTTTTGAAGAAGTCTAGGTATAGTTGGTAGACTGGTTCCGGTGACTGTGTGTTCTACTTCCTGAAAATTTGGATTTCTTGACCCCTAACAGCCTGCTTCCCATTCTGATTCTGTGCTTGAGGTTTGGAAAGCTGCAGTATCTTTCCTTCTGGTCCAGATCCTCTTGTGCTCCACCTTCTGACTCATGGAGCCATTTGGATGAGAGCTCCTGAGGTAAGTGGGCTCCAATAATATCCTATTTTATTTGAATATTTAAAGTTTTTAAATTCCATTAATTAGTAATCATATAATCACTAATTGAAGATTAGCTTTTTAACTCTAAACTAAACCCTACAGGGTGAATGTGAACTGAAAGTGTAATGAAAAAGGTTATTTAGTCTAAAGCTCATTAATTTCACAACTGAAAATTTTGGATTTGGTAATTTTTTACTGGGGCGGGGAGTAGGAGGTGGTTATCATATGCATTGCAGGAAATGTAGCAGCATCCTTGTCTTCATCTTAGAAGATGCTAAACAGGACAGTCTTCATTCCAATCATAAAATTGTGTGTCCCATGTGGCAATACTGTTCCTAACTAAGAACCACTGTATTAAAACCCAAAACCAAAACAAACCTAACCTGAGCGGAACAGTGGTTTCTTTAATTAATAATGTGCCTTACTGACTACGCAAAGACATTCAACTGTTTTAATCATAATAAACTAAGGATAATATTGAGAACAATAGGAACTCCAGGATACTTAATAATAATCATGTGTAACCTATACACAAACCAAGAAGCAGTTGCTTGAACAGAACAAGGGGATATGCATGGTTTAAAATCAGGAAAAGTGTTTTTCAGAGTGATATCCTTTTCTCCATACCACAGACAATGTGTACGCTGAGCAAATAATTTAAGAACCAATACTAGAGGAAGACTGATCAAAAACCTGAGTTTTGCAGATGACAAGATCATGCTTGCAGAAAGTGAAGGATAATTGAATTACTTAATCAAAGACCTCAATATGAACGACAATTTAACAAAAAACCCCAAAATAGCACACACATACACAAAAACCCCAAACAAGAATCCTACAACTGGATCAATAGGTCACAACAGTTAAACAGAGAAAACATCTAGGTTGTCAATTATTTTATTTAACTGGATCCACAATCAACAGCCCTGGAAGCAGCAGTCAAGACATTCTCCCTTTCATTGCATTGAGCAAATCTGTTGTCAAGAAACAACCTCTATAAAAATGCTTAAGATGGAGGATACCAGTGTAAAGAAGAAGGTGCTCCAGACTATAGTTATTTTTCAATTGCTTTGTATGCATGTGAGAGTTGAACAAGTTTGGGAATGACTTAAGAAAATCTGATGGCTTTGAATCGTGGTGCTAAGGAGAATAGCAAAATTAGCATGTTGTGGTTGTTGGTATGTGCTGTAGAGTCTCTTGGGACTCATAGCGACCCTATATACAACAGCCCTAAACTCTGCTGTGTCCTGTGCCAATCACACCGTCTCTGATACACCCATCCTGATTACCCCAGTCACTGAATCAGTCCACCTCATAGACGGCCTTCCCCTCCTGCGCTGTCCCTCCACCCTACCAAGCATGATGTCCCTCTCCAAGAACAGGTCCCTCCTTACAACATGTCCAAAGTATGTTAGCCAGAGCCTCAGAATCTTTGCCTCCAAGGAGCCACCCGGTTTAACCCTTTCCAGGACGAATCTGTTTGTTTTCCCAGCAGTCCATGGTACCCTCAAGACTCTCCTCCAGCGCCACAGCTCAAAGGCATCAATTCTCCTTCTAGCCTCCTTAGTCACTGTCCAACTCTCTGATGCATAACAAGTGACTGCAAAGACCATGGCCTGTATCAAACGCACCTTAGTCTCCAGAGAGACACCATTGCTCTTCAGTACATTGCTCTTCAGGTCCCTAACAGCAGACTTTCCCATGGCAATACGTCTTTTAATTTTCTGGCTATTGGTGCCGGGAGTGTTGACTGTGGAGCCAAGCAAACTAAAGCTGTGAACAATCTCAATCTCGTCACCATCCATCCTGATGCTGCTAATTGGCCCAGTGGTGAGAATCTTTGTCTTCTTGACCTTGAGCCTCAATCCATATTGGAGGCTGCAGTCCTTGACCCTCTGCAGCAAGCACTTCAGGTCCTCCTCAGTTTCAGCAAGCAGGGTTGTGTCATCTATATATCGCAGATTGTAGAATGCCCAAATTAAAAAAAATCTGCTTTTAAAGAAGTACAGCCTGAGTGCTTATTAAAAGCAAAGATAACAAGACTTCATTTCACACATTTTGGGATTTTTGTGATTAGGAGAAGACATCATGCTTGTTAGAGAAACACCCTCAATGAGATGGATTAACAGTGATTCCAACAACGACCTTAAGTACAGCAGAAATTGTAAAGATGGCACAATATCAGACATGGTTTCTAGAGATTTACATAAGGTATCTGTGAGCTGAAAAAGATGCAATGGTATCTAAAAACAACATCCACTGAATGCACACTAGGGAGCTCTGGTGGTCTAGTGGCAAGAAGCTACTCTGCAATCCTGAAAACTTCCCATCTGCTTAACAGCCTCTGAAAACCCACTAGAGGGTCAGCTATGGGTCAGTTCCAACTCTATGATACACAACAACAATTACAACAACAAATGCACTTTAGAATAAGATCCACATAATACTTATAAACTGAATTAGAAAGTTACTATGGGTGGGTGGTGCATTCCAGCGAGGCAGGCAGTCTGATGTGCTGAGAACCGGTGACTTGGCAGCTTAACATCTGGGAACAGACTGCAGCCCCTAACTCCTGGCAGGGCCCACGCCCTGTCCCCGGCCCCCCACTGTAGCACCACATTCCCCTGACACGCCCCCCAACCATCCCGTGCCCCTGTATCCCTGGTACACCCTGGTGGCCACGCCACAGCCCTGCACCCCCAGTGGTGCCCCAGGGCCACTAGAGAGTCCTTCACACAGCACAGAGACCTACTAATTGCAGTGGACAGAAGGATTTTGAATCAGAACACAAAGGCACGACACGGATCCAGTCATCGCCCGAAGCCACCAATAGAGCTGCTGTGGGACTGATCTGCCACAAGAAAGGCCAGTAGAATCTGAACTGGGTTTTCCTGGGCAGCACCGACTGCCTGCAAGAGTACCCAAGGGTGAGCCCACTGATGAGAATTTGGCTGAGCTCTCTTGGGCCACGCAGATTGCCCAGGAATGAGCGGGCCAG